AGTGGGGGGGTGGGTAAGGGCAGAGGGTGGGATGGGAACAGGGTGGAGGGGAGCTATGGGGGGGAAAGAGGAACAAATGTAATAATCTGAACAATAAGATTTAATGAAAAAAAATAAAACACACACACACACAAAAAAAATAAAACACACAGAACTTGGCTGGAGATCCTGGCTAGAGATCCTGGCTAGGCTGCTGATCAACTGAAAAAAAAAAATTGTCATTCCCCCTTCCAGCAAGCTCCCTTGTTCCTACTCTTTCTCACACCTCCTCATCTTAATTCTCTAGTAATATTTCCTAACATTGCCATCTCAATTTCCCTAGATAATTGAGTGGTTGGCTATCCAATTTCTTATGATCATCCCCAGACTTTTCCCATTGTGCCACAACTTTAGCTACTCTCAGCAGATACATGACTAGGGTAGAGTCATTTGTTTGTGTTTAAAGCTTTCTTTATATAGGTACATTTCACCACATCTTTGATTACATGACCTCTTCAAAAACCTCTTTTTATATTTTTTAATTAAAAAAAGATTGAAACAGTGGTTAAGTGAAATTATTTTTAATCAAGTTATTTTAAAATGTGTAACAAAATTAAATCCTCATCTTCCTCTCTTCCAATCTATCCACTTGCAATAGTCGGTTTTTACCATGGTATAGTAGCCTGCAGGTGCAACTTTTCTGATAGCCTACTGTTTAGAAATGTCTTTCTTCCTCTTCTTCATGTGTGCTTGTGTGTGTATACACTTCCATGTACAGATTTCTGGTCCCTCCAAATATGGGATTGTGTACACACACACACACACACACACACACACACACACATGTGTGGCTTCTCCATTTAAAATATCTTATGGATATATCTCCATACTGCCACAAAGAGAACACCACTTGATCCTATTTCAGGCTGTATGATATTCTATTGTATGACTCTCCTGTAATTTATCAATACTCCAAGGAGAGACAGTTTACTTTCAGCTTTTTATTGTTATGTACAGCGCTGCAATGAAATTAACATTCTTATTTACGTACTCTTTATGCACCACATTTTTCCACATGAGTTTCTCCAAGTGGGGTTGCTAAGTCATAAGGTTTTTTAATGAGATTCTTGAGAAAAGGATTTATTTATAGATTCTTAAGGATTCATTTACCCCTCCGAGGTATGGTGGTCACTACATAGTATTAGCAGACTCTAGTTAATTGAACTGGCCTTGGAAACACTCTGAAAAAATAAAATTGACTGACCCTTTCACTTCTATGTCCAACCCACTGACTGAAAGAACCCCATGTTACATAACTTGAGTAACAGGGCAAACCACAGCTTCAGTGGAAGCAGGATCCTCAAAGGGTTCTAGCATTTAAAGTAGCTACTCCAAGCATACATACAGGCCAGCACATGTATGTTTTATGCATTTTATTATTTCAGAAGATTTTACACTATACCATATTAAAGCGAGCAAGGACATCAACACTCATTACATTCTTTAGAGCCATAAAGCAGACTCAAAACCTTGACCCAATTCAAATCAATTCTCTCCTAAGTTGCAAATTATATACTGTCCATCTTGCAGCCAAGTCAAGGGCATGTACCTTGGTTGCCGGTTCAATCCCTGGCCCTGGTTGGGGCACGAGTGGGAAGCAACCAATCGATGTGTCTCTCTCACATGGATGTTTCTCTGTTTCTCTCCCCCTCCCCCAAGTCCCTTCCCTCTCTAAAATATCAATGGGGAAAATATCCTCACTCGTTGAGTGAAAATTAAAAATAAATTAATAAGTTGCCCTTAAAATAAATAAATACAAATATAAGAACAATTCGCTCATATCCAAAATCACTGAAGTTAGATGACATCTCTGTCCTAAAGGACACACACACACACACACAATTATAGCATAATATACTCTCAATATAAACAAAGTACTTAACAACAACAAAAAAGTAAGGGATTTCCAAATGAGGTTATATAAGACCTTACAGAGTAGATATATTTGATTGGACCATTAAAAATGAATTTCCTGAGGAAGTGAGGGGAACCCCAGAGAATCATAAAAGCGTAGAGATAGAGAAGCATACAGGGAAGAGAAAAAGACACTAAAATTGTTTCTCTCTTTCTCTCTTCATGTTTCTCTCTCACATCAATGTTTCTCTCTCTCTCTCCCTTCCTCTCTCTCTCTAAAAATCAATAAAAACATATCCTCAGGTAAGAATTAAAATTTCTTTTAAATGAGGAAGAAATGAAATTATTATGCTAAGCAAAGTAAGCCAGTCAGAGAAAGAAAAATATCACATGATCTTACTTACATGTGGAATCCAATGAACAAAATAAACTGACAAAGAAAACAGATCCAGAGATATGGAATCATGAAACAGACTGACAAATCTCCGAGGGAAGAGATTAACCAAAGAATTTATACGCATTATATGCATAACCCATGGACACAAACAATAGAGCAGAGAATGCCTGGGGAGGGGAGGGGAGTGGGGTGAAGGGGGTAATGGGGGGAAAAGGGAACATCTGTAATACTTTCAAAATAAAGATAATTTTTAAAAAAAACTGAGGAAGAAATGAGCTGTGAGAAATGTGGGTGATGGTCTAGGTTTGTATTTTTGGCAGAACAGCATTAATCTTACTATGAATATTAGGAATCAAAATGTCCAAAGGATAAAAATAACACCTACCAGATCCTTGCATTTTCAAAGTCCAGTAAAATATATGATAAACACTGTAATGGGAAGAAGAAACATTTTTGACAAACTAACATGGGTTCTCTAAATATGTATTGTGTTTTATGGCATTGTTTTGCATTACATTCAATGTTTTGCATTGGTTTTATATCTATGCTTTTTATTACCTTGCAGATAAGCATTTATATAAAGAGCATCATTTTTCCTAAAACACTAGTAGCAGCAGTTGGCATTTACCACCACCCTAAGGAATCATTTTCATAACCTGTCTTTAGGGAACTACATTTTAGGTATAAAAGTTTGGGGAAAATAAAAGCAAAAAATGGGTATACAGAAGCAAAAAATCATGAGAAATTGCTTGGTGAGTATCAATCACATTCTACAAGCAGAATTTAAGTACAACCAGATCTTAAGCATCCACCTTTATTTATGGCACACTTTAAGATGCTCATTTGAGTCTAGGGAGCTTACTACAAAACTGCAAGTTGATATGTCCACATAATAAAAGGATTTCTACATCACTACTCATACATAATAGCAACAATACCCTACATTTAAGCATTCTTTATAAGCTGTTTAGGTTTTTTCCATATGCAATAATATAAGTATTATTTACTGAATAATATAAAATAATTGGCTTTGAATAATTAAATAGAAATTATCCAGTAAAAACTATTAAAGAATATTTTGAGTCAATTCTGTGTCAGGCACTATGATAAGTACTCTATATACATTCTCTTAACCTTTTCAATCACCTTCTGGAAGTAGGTAGGATCCTAGATTTCCAGGTGAGGAAACTAGTCTAGAAAGGTAATTGGACTTCCCCAAGGAAATATAAGAAAATAACATAGAGGAGGTAATATGCAAAAAAAAAATACAACAAGACCTGAATAGAAGCAGTAGTAATAGCAAAGATCCACATATTAACTATAAGAAATCAAACAACCACAAGAAAAGAAACGATCCAACATATAAATGGGCAAAATATTTGAACGTACATGACACTAAAGATATACAGCTGGCAAAGAAGTATGTAAAATATACTCAGCATCATGAATTATTCTGGCAATGCAAATTTAAAAGGAAATACCAGTTAGAGTGGCCAAAACTTAAGACTTATACAGGAATGTACACAAAGACCTGTACGGGAATGTTCATAGCAGCTTTATTTTAATAGCAAAACTGTAAACAACCACAATGAACATCAGCAGGTGAAAGGATAAACAAATTTGCTATATCCACACAATGGAATACTTCCCAGCCATAAAAAGGATTGATACAACATGGGTGAGTCTGAAAATAATGATGCTGAGTGAAAGAAACCTAGCCAAAAAAACAAACAAAAAACCCATACTGATTCCATTTATATAAAATTCTAGAAAATGCAAACTAATCTATCTAGTGAGGAAAAACAGATCAGTGGGTGCCTGGAATGATGTGGAGCAGAGAGCTGCACAAAGGAAATTACAAAATACCAAGGGGCATGAGGAAACTTTGGGGGGTGATATGTTCATTATCTTGATTTTGGTGATGGTTTCACAGATGTATTACTATGTCAAACCCCATCAAGTTGTATCTGTTGTTTATTTAATATGTCAATTATACCACTATAAAGCCAATAAAAAAGCATGTTTCTACTTTTGTGTGTCTGTGATATATATTTTATGGGGTTCTTTTTTTAAATCTGTGAGAATTACTATCAACATTTTAACAATGGTTGTCTCTGAGTAAAGGAAGAATTAGGAATGTCTTGAATTTTCTTCTATGAGATTCTCAATAGACTACAATAATATATATATACTTTAAAGGTCATTTTATTTTATTTTTATTTCTTAATCCTCACTTTATGTTTTCATTGAGTTTAAGAGAAAGAGAGAGAGAGAGAGAGAGAGAGAGAGAGAGAGAGAGAGAGAAATATCTATGGGTTGCCTCCCTCATGTGTCCTGACTAGGAATCCAACCTGCAACCTTTTGTTGTACAGGACAACACTCCAACAGAGTCACTGGGCCAGGGACGGTAATTATTTCCATACTTAAATTTGTTAAAATAATCAGAAAGTCAATTTATAAGCATCCCATTTGGGAGTGGGCTGTTACTCTGAGATAAACTGGTAGTGACTTTTGTTTTACCCTACCTAGTTCTCAGGTTTGCCTCAGATCCCATAGCCCCGGGACAGAAAAAGCTCAGGGGGGGGGGGGGGGGGGGGCAAGCAGCGCTTGGCTCAGTCAGTCCTTTCGTTCGCAAGTACAGGCGGCTACTTTTTGGACAGCATTTCAACTTAGGTTAAATAATAAATTACAAACGCCCAAGAGCAGAAATCTTGCGCCTACGACAGAGGGAACAGATCAATGGAACTGTGTCATTGTCATCTGTGCCCAAACGCGCGACAGGCGCGCGCCACCTCCGCCACCCGCGTGGAACTCGGTGCCACTGGAAGAAAGGGGGCGTGTGACGCAGCCGCAGTCGCCTAGGGCCCAGTTCTGATTCACACCTGACGCCCCCGGGGCCTGACCATGCGTCTCCACTTCTGAAGAGAGGGGGCCATGCTGTCCTGTGTCTTGCTCCTTTCCAATAGCAGCCGCCTCCTCCAGGACGCTCTCAGGGTCCGCCTCCGCCCGCTCCCGGGTGCGCCAGAACTTCCACCCGGA